TATTTAATTATTAAAGAGAAAAATTAAAATCAAACTGTAAAATGGTAAAAAAGTGGGCAATTTCTGTCCTTAATTAACAGATTACACAGGTATATGGAAGTCAATAGATATCACTTCGAGCACCTACTGTAACTAAGGTAAGTAGTGAAACCATGAACAACGTTTTTGCAAATATCTCGCTAATTATTAGATTTTGAACAAATGAAGCTTAATACTTCCTTATAGAAAATTCACTGTCCTTTTAAATTTTGGTATGAAACGGTACGCATTCCATTTAAAAAATTCAAAGTCACTTTAATATCTTATAAACAAATATATTATTTTAAAAAACCGTTTCAGCATCATATATTTCCTTTAGTACCGTACAATTTCTATATAAAACATTTTTTTGTAGAACACATACTTTAGAAGGTATTCAGGGTGGACAAATTATGTGACTCACCCTGTATATGACATCGATTCTGACCGTGTCACTCTCAATTAATATTTTGATTCCAACGGTGTACGGTGATGATATAAATGAATGAATATACATATACATTTATGTATAGATATATAAACATTCAGTTGAATCCTTCAAATTTCCGGTGCTTTACACAGATTTGACATGTCTGATCATCACAGTGGAAAAGGTTATACACCTTTACCGCAAAGTATAAGCAATACTGATACTGAAGATGAAGAAGATTGTTTGGCTTATTCGAATGAAACTCCCAAAGATCATGTTGATGATACACTACCGGTAAGTTTAAATTACAACAAATTCTATTTCCTTTACTTATATTGCATATCATATTACAATTGCAAACATTTAAAATATATAAATGTTATAAAATATAATATGAAAAATGTGTAATATCAAAATTATAGCAATCAACTACTATTCATGAAAATGGAATGTATTATCCATTGGATGAAACAAGAAACTTAGCCAATCGTACAAAAAATGGACAAAATATGCTTAAGTATTATAGAGATGACATACCTATAATGGTAGTTGAAGGCAATGATCAAAATGACTTATGGAAAAGGCGTGATATGTCTCCTTTAAGGCGATTTTGTTTGATTGTTTCTGTATTATTATGCATTGTAACAATAATTATATTTTTATATGTTTTACCTTGTGATAACTCAATGGTATGCCCTTCAGTCAATAAACTTCAATCATCTGTATCTTGGGATAAAACTTTGCAAGGAGTAGGTAAGTTTGACATGGATAAGTGCATTATACATAATGTAAATATATTTTAAATGATATACAATTATACATAGCATAACACATGTGAAGATTAGCTTTATTTGTTTAATAAGATAAAATCATAAGTGATGTGTATTGCACATCATTGTTTCTTAGAAATGGATATTTACAAGTAGATTCTATAGAAATTTTAATAAATTCTTTAGAAATTTTTGTTGAAAGTTGAAGTGGATCTAGAGGTCAAATGGTTCATTTCATGAATCTATAAATACACTTAAGTTTTAACATTAGACAACAAATTGTAATGGGTTAGTGTACAGAATTACTTCATAAATGGAAATTTAAGGTTCAAGACCTAGTAGACTTTTGTTCCACTTTTATTCTAAATAACAAAAGTTATATGATTAAGTTTTTAATATTCTAATTAACCATATTGTAAAATATCGAGGTATACAATAAATTCTTATAAAAATATTTCTTTAAATATTTTTAGAATTACATGGTACTATTTCCATTACTTATGGAAATCCATCGAATCTTATATTTCTTGTTCGTGGACAGCGATACAGAGGAAATGATACAAGTAGTGATCAGGGACAAATATCACCAGATGGAGGAGGAGTTATGTCAATGCAAGGAAATAGTGGTTTACCATTGTGGTTGGTTTCTTTGAAAAGGCAACCTACAGAAATTGACTGTATTTCAGTTGATACTGATCGTTCTGGAAAACCAGATTGCATAGTTGCTGGTGATCAAGGCCTCTTGGCTAGTATTGAACCTATTGCAGGCACTATACATTGGAGTTCGAAAATCTATACATTTAAAAAACTACCTCTGATTTTATCAGATATTGATTCAGATGGAGTAGAAGATTTCTTGAGTATAGAAATAGCAGTAAAAAATATGCCTAATATTGTTCTTTTATCTGGAGGAAGTGGTAACCTTTTAGGACGATATTCACCTGGAAATTGTTCATCTATTAATGTATATAATCAGATTTTTAATGATACTATATCTTACATTTGTTATGACAGTAACAGAAAAAGTAAGTGTGAATTTAAAAGACAAATTTGATTTAATCGTAAGGAATAATATCTCTTATGTAAATATTTTAAATTTTATTGAGTATATAATGCAAAAATGTTAGTAAAATGTTGACATACTTTTATATTTTATATATATTTGATTAGAAATTTTGATATGTACTAATAGTCTCTTATGAAAAATGAAATACATAATTTTTTATTCCATTTACAGACACAATAAAACATATGACTATTAAAAGATTATTGCATGCTTTAAAATTACCAGAGGAAAATAAAAAATTTACAATAAAACCAGGAATAACATTTAGCACATTTAAGACATTACAACTTGATAATGAGGAGAATAATTGGAAACCTACACCATACCACTATTTATCCATTAAAAACCAAGGATCATGTCCTGGAGAATTCTGCAGAGCTAGTGTAAATCTAACATTGCAAAAACATGGAAATCAACCAGTAATAATATGGGATCATATTAGTCCGAATTCTTTTGTATCAAAACCAGCTTTCCTGATTATGCCTGGGAAACCTTATACTTCTGGATTTGCTATTAAATTTTGGCAATGGATTAATCCAATGTCTGAACATACGAAAAAAGTATCCATTATTACAGAAAGAAGATTAATAGAAAGAGTATTAATAGTTTTTGTAAATTATACAGATGTGCAAGTTATGAATGCAAGTCAAAGTGATATTATTCAGTTATGTCAAGATGGAAATTGTCAACCAAATTTAAATTCACGTGCTCGTTTTAGTTCAATCAAAATTGATTATATTAGTAAAGATAATTTTCCAGAATTAATAAGTTATTGGTCTTCATATGATATGGAATCACCAAAAATATTAACATCTAAAGTGCAAGTTGCAAAATTAGATTCACTTGTAATGGGCTTACCACATATAAATGTTTAATTTTTAGTTTATTTAGCAATTATTTTCTGCAGATACATTGATTATACAATTTTCAACATGAAATTAAAAACATTCTAACAAAATGAAAATATTCGTTTTATAAAAATACTTAAATACACTGGCATAATAATACTAGTGTTGCTAAATAGTATCTCATCATAAATCTGTTAGAACTAGTCAATATTTTGGAAGTAGGAACATAACAAGGATTTTCCTAAGCACCTAATTAACTATAAAATAACTTCTAACATAATAATTCTCATAGTAAGCAGTTATTACTAATGTCCACATAGTTTAAAAAACTCTAAATGGTGCCTTGCAAAAACTGTATACAAGAATCATGAGCAAATGTATAAAAATTTGCCAAAATAATTACACATTATTAGATAAAGCATATTAAAAGTATTATATGTTTAACAAAATTTTAAACAAGGTAATAAAGTTCCTTTTCTAATATTACTAAATAATATACATGCGATACTTTTATGTAAATTTATTTAATGTTATGAGTGAATTCTTTGTTATAAACAATAGAGCTTATTGCACATAAAAGCTAGTGCAATATTATAAAAGGTGAAAGTAAATAAAAATCATACTCTAGTCATGTTTGTATTACTATATTTTCTTAGTTTAAAATCACATATTTATATTATATTGTTGTAAATTAATTATCATTCCAAAATACAATATTATGTTTTTTGAGTTATATTTTATTCAGTGGTTTATTTTTATTGTAACAATATCCTAACTTTCAATTAAAGTAATATTTTTAATTTTATAATATTTGAAAATTGTTTCGAACCAATTTTATTTCAACAAAATTTCATTAATTAAAAATAAAACAGATACTGATCTTTTGAGCATATAATAACTATCTTTTAAGCATACAAATAATTAAATAAAATATCTTGAAATGTTTGTTATTTTGCATTTAGAAAAACTTTTTCGTTGAAAAGCAATATTTCAAACTGATTTTAAATGCTAGTAGTGGGGGGAGACCATTGGATGACAGTGCAAATCAGTGTGGTCACAGTTTAAGTACTCAGTACTATTTTGAGTAACGGGTATCCTATACAATACGTGCGAATACTGATAATCCGTACCAGCTGATTCATACCCGTAATATATTAGGAACATTAGCTACATGTGAAAGAAACTGTAGAAACAGTTAAAAACTAACCTCGATCGTGTAAAAGAAATTGCCATGTGGCAATATAACGTATGTATATACTAAATATCAATAACATACGTATAACCTCTACACTGATTGCATGATGGCTACTGGAAAACGAAGAGGTGTGCATACAACTTCTGGCAACTCTACGATGTTCGGCTCATCAATGAATAATTTAAGGTCGAGTCGTCTAAACTTTCGTCCAAATTCGACTCAAGAAGATAAAGGTGGAACTCGGCCAACCGCGGCTCCAAGCTCCATAGGTCTTATACTTATAACGATGTTTTTACATGTTTGTAAAAAATCTTTACTATTCGACACGAGACTTAAAGTTGCTATATATTGTGGCGCGATATTTGTAGTATCATTGATAGCAGATTTTACTACGATACCGAGAACGTATTTATCACGTTCAGATAACGCACTCAATCAGTACTTTGTGAAGTGGGGATGGGGATGGCTATTAACCGTAACCGTTCCATGGGTCGCATTGACAGCACACACACTTGGCTGTGGTCGTAGATCAATTTTACTTAGACATCTTGCTAGACTAGCTTTAGCTACAATTGCATGGTTATTATGGGTGAAATTGTTTAATTATATTGAAACGAACTTTGGCCGTTGTCTTAGCACAAGGGATATACAGTTACAGACAAAAACAAAATGTCTTCAATCTGGTAGATTTTGGAGTAGTATTGATATATCTGGGCATACATTTATTCTTATATATTCTAGTCTCATCTTAGCGGAAGAAGGCTCTTCATTAGTTGGATGGGAAGGTATCAAGGATTTGATCATGCGTGAAGAACATACGCGAGTTACACCAAATGAATCTAGTACCGGACCGCTTCGAAATCTTTCGAATTCAGATTTAGATTTCTTAAAGAAAGCACACAAAGCGCTTACACCTTATTTGAGAGGTCTTTTTGTTGCAATGACGTTACAACAATTACTTTGGGATACAATGTTAATATCTACAATACTTTATTATCATATTATGATAGAAAAATTTCTTGGAGGTATAGCAGCCGTTCTAACATGGTACGTTACGTATCAATGGTGGTATAAGCTTCCAAAAAATTCATTGCCCTCTCCTGGTGATGGTTTATTTAAATATAATGAAGTGAAGACCTACGACAATGATTCAAACAGATTGAGGCGTAGTACATTAAATGGTACCAATAGATTTATGGGACTTCCGATTCGTTCGAATTATGATAATATCAATATAAGCGGCATTAATAGGCAATTAGATTCCGAAATAATTGCTTCCAGAACATGAAAATTATCAAATATTTTGTAGTTTTTATTTTTATCAGTGGTGTTGGTTAATATATTGCTGATACTATTAAACAACTTTTTTATGCGCGTGTGTATGTATATATTTATATATTGTATGCGTGTGTTTCACTTCTGAATTTATACAGCTTTTTTGGAATAACAAACTCAGAATTTATTTAATAATGTTTAGTAGAGTAAGTCTCGGAATGTCTGTGTACGTATTTTAATATAAATTATACGTGTTACTGGTGTGTTTTTCTCGAATATTTATTATTCATTTTGAAATTGAAATCAATTATTTAAGTATCGCAATCTATTGTAATATAATTTCTAGCTTGTATAAAATACGATTGGATGAAATATGTACTTTCTGTACCTCTTTATGGATTGTTACATTGATCAAATTATAGACACGTGCTCGTATTATATAATTATTGTTAGGAATACACGTTTTGTGACCTTATTTCGAAATTTGTATTTAATAAATTCTGTTGTTAACAAAGTGTTCGTCCCATCAATTGATAAAATATTTGTAATAAGAATATATTTGTTGTTGAAAGTATAAAATGCAATCACATGTCATTTATTATGAATTCTTAGATTTTGCATATTTATCATTACTATGTTTAGTACACCAATCTGGATTTTAATTTATATTATTCTAATGAAAAGTGCATGAAAGAATGTATTCTCTCTAACGAACTTTTGTGTCACTATATTTTTCTTGTAAATTTATATATGACAAAACTATTTTAATTAATTACCTATTTAATATTTTGCAAGACTTAATTTTGAACTTCTCGTAATTGTAACATAGAAATAGCCATATATGAGAAACACATACTGTTGTAATAATATATTTATTTTTTTGTTACTTAGATAAAAATACGATAGTTAATTAGTTACTTCTATTAATGGTCATTCTAATGACGCTAAAAACCGCTTAAATGTAAATGTTTCTAGTTTGCATGAATGAATTAATAATGCTGTTTTGCATTGTTATGGTTATAAACTCATATCATTACAAAAAAAAAAAAAAAGGTTATAGAATATTTATACAGACGTGACATTTTATTGTCATTTAATATCACCAAACATGTTTGTATCTCTTTAAAAACGTTAGGTTTGTTATGATCGTAGACATTTTGTGTATTGCAACAAAATTTTTCATTCATATATAAATTACAAGTTTGCTTTTATTTACGTGCATTTGGCAGTTTTTAAGACATTGCTTTGTAATTTATTTTTACATACCTTCTACAAATCATTATGATCATTTAATCCTTAAAAAAATGTACGACACAAATTTTTTACTTGTACATACGTAAAATGCGTATGTGTACATGCGCGCACAAGCAAACACAGCTTTCGATCTCCAATAATGAAGAAACTATACAGTATGACATTTGTTCGACATTGTATGCAAAAAAGGAAATTAAGAAATTATAGGTTGATATAATGGTTAGAAAAATTTCAGAAATTAGAAATGCTTTTGTCCCTGATATGAATTGTTCTTTTTTCTCATATCACAAGCTACATTATAGCAGCTAATTACATAATACAAATCTAGGAAGTATTTGTGTGTATATATATGTTTCTAAAATGATAAATGTGTGCTGTGTTATTAAACCTTCGATCTCTTACGTGCAATTGCATCTTCTACAGCTTTAAGTTGTTTTAATAATTCTTCTCGTCGTGAACTTGCTTTTTTTGCTGCTTTGGCTGCGGCTGCAGCAACGCTTGCTTTGCTATCGATCAATGGTGGTGATTCTAGCCCTCTCTTTTTCCCAGCCATTAAAGCAGATCGATCGACTTTTTTCACAGCAGTAGTATTACTTGTTGGTTTTAATGTAAGCTTGATTTGTTGTTTAGTACCGCTAAGCTTTAAGGCATCGATACCCTTGGAATCTTTTCGCGTTACTGGTGGGGTCGAACCTTTCCTTCGACGCGTTTCACTGGAAGAAGAGGAATAACTCGATTCACTGGAATCACTACTGCTACCACTACTTTCTGATCCTGAACTGCTGTGCGAAGACCTATAAACATATTTTGTCATACTGTATTTTGTTATTTCTACTCCGTTTTGTATCTTAAAAGTCTAAATTTCATTAATGTATATATAATTAGTAGAACATACTTTTTGCATTTGTTTTTTACCTGGATCTTGATCGACTTTTGATGACTTTAGCTACTGCAGCTGCTGCTATTGCTGCTTTATCTCTTGCCTTCTCATGGTGACGTTGATGAGAGGAAAGTGGGCTTGGCGCAGGTGGGTTGAGCCCAGCACGTCGGTGAAGTGTACCAGTTGTAGGAGAAATGGAACCTTTAGGTGGTCGAGGAGAAGGAGCAGGTGGATTCATTAACATAGCACCGCGCTGGGGTGCAGCAGCTGTAACTGCTGGGGGATTAGAGGGCGGCGATGCCACTGCTGCTTTCCCTTTGCCAGCACTACGATTTCTAGAGGGAGGGGATGGTGAACGGGACCTGGATAGGGAGTCGTAAGAACTGTAGCTAGAACGGCTCGAGCTACGGCTAGAACTAAAAGCAGTATACAGTGCACTTGTACGATTTTTCATGTATAATTATATTTAAGAAAACAAAAAATGGAAAAATTTGAATAGACTTAAGTAATTGATATAAACTGTTGTTCATTAACAATATCTCACTGTGTATGTTTGGCAACAAAAGTAACAAAAATTGTAAACTTCATGTTATCAATACAATTAAGAAATAAAGGTTACCTTGTTGATGAATATGAAGAGCCCGAAGAATACGATTGTCTTCGTGATCGCCGGGACGATGTATTTCGTCGTACCGTACTCGGAGACTTCCGACGCATCCAAGGATCTGCCCATTCATCACCTCTACCCCGTTCCTCTGGTGGTGGTTCCTCCTCTCGCCAAGGTTTAGTTGGTGAAATACGTTGTACTATAACCTCCCTTGATGGACGCTTATGTTTCTTTTCATATTTCTCGTAATACTCTCGTTCTCTATCGCGTTCACGCTCTCGTTCCCTTTCTCGTTCTCTTATATGTGGCGGAGGAGAAACAGAATGAGGCGTTCCACGAGGAATTGCATGATAATCGATACGCTCCCTATATTCAGTGGTCACTCGAGAATCTGTTTTATAATGTACCCTCCTTAAAAGAATCAAGATGCATAAATATTTAGAAGAAATATTATGAAATATATAATAAGTGATAAATATTATAAACATTACCTATAATATTCGGGTGGTGCTGTTGATGGTGCATAATAAGTTTCAGGATCATCAATATATCTTTCTGGTGTAAGCCTTGGTGGTGGTATTCTTCTCGATGCCTCTCTAGGCGGCCACCTTTCGACAGGTGGTTCTGGGCTAGCTGCTCTTACGTAATATCCTGCTTCCCTATCTAGTTCATCTTGTCCTAAGCTTAAGTTCATTTTTTTCTCTTCAAAGTCCATATCTGATTCTTTGCGTTTATTTGCTTTGCGCATCATCTGTATAAAAAAAAAGAAGTTAATAAAAATGCTTCTTACAGAACTATAATACATGAAATGTTAAATTTATTTTGTAAACAACATTTATAAACTTACTTCCTTAGCATGTCGTAATCCACGTTCCCACGCAGACTCAGTAGGAATATCTTCTATTTTCGGTGTATGTGACGGTGCTCCATAACCAGGTAATGGTCGCACCATATTTGGCCTATCGATATGCGGTCTAAATTCGTGTGTGGTAGCTGTATGTGGCGGATATGCCATTGGCCTTACCATGTCGAACATGGTATAATTACCCTTGTCAGTTACACCTGGATGTAAGAATCTACAACTAACTCCCCATGTACATTGGCCTCGGTTATAAAATCGGCAAACAGGTCTTGGTTCTGTTTCTTCTGGTCTGGCATCATCACCATCGCTAAGTTCGCCTTCTTCCAATTCAGATTCTACTTTCTCCCCATCCTCCTCTCCTTCTTCCTTGTCATTTCCATCACCACTTTCTTTCAATTTCACTTTATCCTTATCTTTGTCTTTATCTTTTCCATCTTTATCATCCTTCTCTTTGTTTTCTTTAATAACTGGTCCATCTGTTTCTCCTAAAAATAATACATTCAGTTATATTTACTTTAAATTTATATATACTTTAAATAATAAATAAAATATTTACCTTCGTCACGTTCATCTTTCCACTGGCCATCAGCTTCAAAATCGAGTTGTTCACTTTCTTCTGTTAATGCAACAGGTGCATTTTTATCTTCTTTTTCTATTTTATTATTACTTACACGTTTCTCCTCGTTTTGTTGATTTTCTTTGAGTATTGAGTCATGCTCAGTAGTGCTATCAACTCCATCTATACTTTCTAAATCAGAAACATCTGATAAATCCTCACCATGTGTAATTGGTGCAGGTTTCAATTTAGTCATTGATTCAGGTTCATCTTCAATATCTCCATCTGAAATTTGTTCTCCATCCAATTCATTGAATGAACCAGCTTTTGTTGGTGGAGAGTGAGGTGGTGAATGCTTTTCTGATTCTTGATCATCCATAGGAGATGTGGGGCCTGATTTTGGAGAACTCCTTCCAGATATTAATGATTTTGCAGAACTGCGTTCTGATCTTGGTGATTTTGGTGAACTCTGTCTTGATTCACTGTTCTTATAGGAGTAGGATTTAGGAGAATTATCTCCAGATTCTTGTGCATCTACTTCCAGTTCAAATTGTTTAGGTTCTGTATCTTCAAGGTGTAAAGATTTAGAATCATGAGGTGTAGATGGACATGATCTTTCATCTTGTATAGGAGAATGAGATAAACTGCGATCACTTCTAAGTGAATCCAAAGAATTATTTCCTGAATGATATGATTTTGGTGAAGCAGGTGGTGATTTCGATAAACTACGAGTTGATCTTGGAGAACCAATTTCACTAGGAGATGCCAATCCAGATCTTTGAGATTTTGGGGATATTGGAGTATATCTTGGGGACTTTGAATCTCTTTCTGATATAACAAATTCAGGTGACTTTTCTCTTGAAGAAATAGAACTTGCCCTAGATTTGTGCCCAGATACAGATGAATGGTGTGAGAAGTTTGGTGATGCCATATTGTCAGCAGATGTAATGCGATTTCTTCTTCCATCATAACTCTCCGAAGAGGAACTTTCTGAACTAGAGTCTGACATGATGAACTATTCTAACCTGTAAATAAATTATTTTTTTACAATATGCATGATAATAATTTGATAAAAAATGGAACCACCCTGAAATAAATTGTTAATTCCCCTTACATGAGAACTGAATTTTTTAGCCATACCAACCGAATGTAGCACTGAAAAATCTGCATCAGTAGCATCGCAGGGCTTACCTGTATCTATAAAAGCCTGTGCAGTACTTGCTCTTGAAGGCACAACATGATCAATCCATACCATGTCGAACATACTTTTTATATCACGTTGATAACTTTTTTTTACTAACAACTTTTGTACTTTACATTAAAACTGAACTTTTTTCACATTTAGAATACATACTGTTATTTTTCAAAATTTTTTGCCCGGAACTTTTTACTTAACGTTTTAAACTTTCAACTAGAACACAACACAAACTAAGAAATACCGGTAAACCGCAAACCGTTTTGTACTGCACTAGAAACTATAACGAACGGACTTTCAACCTGTAAGAATGTCTTTTGGGCATGTGGGAAAAGAAAGAACAAAAGGGAGAAGGAATATTTAGGAAAAAAAGAAACTAAAGCACTTTTCATCATAATGTATGAGTAAAATTATATAAAATTAAAACCAATTAATATATCAAGTCATAAACAAACCTTATAAAAAAAATGAAAGCCTAATAGTAGGCTTTTACTATTACAGTAATATGAAAATGAATATGAACTAATAAGTTCAGAGTAATACTCTGATGATATTAATACACAAATCTTAGAAATGTAACAAATAAGATGGGTTCATTAGAAATTAAATCATATATTTACATAATTTTTTTTTAAACACTTC